TAGTCAACTCAGACAAGTGTGAATTGGGCAGATATGAAATAATTTATAATAGTCACATAACTAAGCAAGAGGGTATTCTTCCTTGCGAGGGCAAGGTTCGAGCAAAAAAGAATTACAACTTGGCGTTCTCACTCAATGAACTGAAGGCATTTCTCGGTTTGGTTAACTTCTATCGACGTTTCATCCCACACGCGGCAGAATGGTTACGACCATTAATCGAATAAATTCGCGGTACGATACTGCACGTATTGCATTTTCAGAGATCGGATTTTTCTATACGACCCGTCATGCAACAGAGCGTCACCAGTATCCCATGGATATGAGGTATAGCGCTCTTGGTCGAAACCTGCTAGCAGCCTACCGTACCACCAAACATTTCCAAGACTCAGTAGATGGATGCCATTTCTTCTTATTCACCGACCACAAGCCCTTAACGTATGCTGTGCATACCAAGTCTGACCACTACTCATCACCAGAGTGCAGACAGTTGGACTATATCTCTCAGTTTACGACAGACCTTCGTCACACTAAAGGAGAGTCGAACTATGTTGCCGATGCTTTATCAAGTATCCAAGTGAATGCAGTTACTTGACCAGTGCTCGATTATCCTTCTGTGGCTTTCGCTCAAGCAAACGATCCTTTCTGTACAGAAGCACCACAAGCTTCGTCCCTTCGGTGCCAGGAAGTATCCCTAGCTACTAGCTCAAGTACCATCCTGTATGATACTTCTACCGGTCTTCCCTGACCCATCGCACTCTCCGCTCACCGACGTCTCGTACTTGATGCCATACCTGGATTGTTTCATACAGGTGTGGCAGATATATTACGTCACATCGCTGCACGACACGTCTGGCCGTCCATGAATAAACATGTCCGTATGTGGGTAAATCAAGGCTTACAGTATCAAAGATGAAAAGTGCACAGGCTCGTAGTTGCCTTCATTAGCGCGTTCGCTGAGCCTGATGCTCGCTTCGGTCATGTTTATACAGATATTTTAGGACCATTGCCACCATCGCATGGTTATGATCACATATTCACGTAGATCAACCGTTTTACAAGATGGCCCGAAGCTATTCCCATCACGTCTATTACGGCGAAGATGGATGCTCACCGCTTCGTGGAACGATGGATAGCACTGTGTGGTTGTCTCTCGACTGTCACGACTGACCGAGGACAACAATTCGAGTCCGCATTATTCTCCTCACTGACCCGGCTGCTTGGTACGGAACGCATAAGCACTACCGCCTACCACCTAGCATCAAATGGTTTAGTGCTCTTCGAGCACACGAAAACGACAATTGATACAAAACCTTACTGCTTGTCCTCCTAGGCATCAGACCGAGCTTGAAGGCAGATGTTCAATGTTCCGCCGTTGAACTTGTATACGGCACGACATTGCATCTGCCTGTGTAAATTTTCACACCATGGAGCAGTATCCATTTCCATAAATCAGACTACATCCATCGACTATCCGCATGTATGCGAACACTGTCTCCGGTGTTAACTCGAAAAGAACATCGACAGGTCACTCTCCCTCGAGAGTTATCTACTTGTTCACATGTTTTCATACGAGTAGATTCGGTGCGCAAACCTCCGCAACAGCCTTACGAAGGGCCTTTTCACGTGATCTCTCGTCACGAAAAGACCTTCCAGGTTGATCGACATGGCCGCGTCGAGGTCGTCAGAACTGATCGTATCAAACCAGCACATGTCGATGACAGTGCCCTATTCGACAACTTGAGACCCGATGCTAGACCTTTCAAACCTACTAGCAGGAACCTTACATCTACTTCTTGTCACACGCTAGATAGATCAGAGTCTTCATTCTCTCGTCCCAGTAGACATTCAACCTCAATTGACTGATCACTAGGTGGTGATCATTGTCATGTGTGTCAAGTCCTTCCTAGCGCGAATCGAATGCTATAGACCAAGTTTCAATGTTGCTACTAGTTTAGGTGATTCGACATTGCGTGCATATGTTCAGATTAGATGGTGCTTGCAGGTAGTCAACAGGAAACCCTGAATTCGGTTTTCATGCTACTTGGCACTCGTCAGAAAGGTGTACCTATAATCTTGAGAGAAATGGTGCTCCCTGACGGCCACGTTGCAACTTGGTCTATAGCATTTGATCTGCATTAAGAAGGACATGACACACATGACATTGATCACCACCTAATGATCAATCAATTGTGATTACATCTCAGTCCTACTGGAGGTCGATCGCGTTCCGGATAGCCTACTGGTAACGTCTTTGACTGTGAATCTGAGTGGTACGAGGTCGAATCCATCGAGAGGCACCAGTTCCTCCAAGAGTATAGGTACATCTTGCTAACGAGTGCCAAATAGCACGAAACCCAGATTCAGGGTTTCTTGTTGACTACCTCCAACTACTATTTAAGACCTTCAACCTATTAGTTTAATATTAATATAATAGATGAATTGATTCATATACAGATTGATCAATACAATGTACACTTTTCTACCCGGAGAATGTGTATCACGCAATAAACTAATCACTTATTTGATAAACATGAATAATGGTTCTATTAATAGAAGACCAGGAAGAAGACGGAGAGGAAGAAGAAGGAGTAGAGGAAGAAGAAGGAGAAGAAGAAGAAGAATACGAGGTCATAACAATAACATAGATGACCAGAAATTGTTTACCTAATGAGAAATAAACATTTGTAATAAGAATGAATGAAAGTATAACGAAACTAATTAAAACTTTTCCTTTGCTTATAATGAAATAGATACAAATGGAAAGAAGTTTACATGTTTGTCGTTGTTGTCATTGTGGTTGTTGTTGTTGTTGTTATAATTCAATAATTTCGAATGGGGACAAAGATGGAACAACAATGTACACTTATGATCTTGCTGGAAGTCAAATCCAAGATATTGAGTTCTGATTATTGAGTGCTTCATTTGTCTATTAGTTTGTTTGTTTGTTCTTTGAACTCATCGAGTTGATTTCTAGTGATTTACATTTTTAGATCTTGTTAATTAACAACGACGATGTATTAGATTCATTTGGTATTGTCTACTTGAATCTTCCTATTGATGTTTAAGACTACAATGGATCAATTTCCTATTGGCATATTGTGCATATTACCTGGATATTGCATCATAAGTTTGGATGGATAGTGGCAAGTAGTGGAATCTATGATGCACGTTCCAGGATGTGGATTCCAGTGTCAGTCACTATCCATGTTTGCTGATTATGTGTACTGAGAAAAGTGGTTAGTAACTATTGGAATCTGTTTATGGACTAAGATGATACATATATATTCATATTGTGTAAATTGTTAAGTAATCAAACTATGCATATTCATATTCCTCTTCTTATAAACTTCATTTTGACCCATAGACCATTATTATACAATTTACCATTCTTGAGTTATGCCCAGTCTATTCATTACAGTCTCCTACATTCACAGCCACTTTTGGTTAGATCTTCTACAAATGTTGTTTTCTATTTTATGATACAATGTGAACTGTTTTGTTTGTATATAAACCAAGTATGTTTATATCGCAGAGGATGAGATTGGTATCCTGGACTCAATCGGCATGTAGGGCTAGTCAGGAAGGAGGATTGTTATGGAATTTAGACTACTCGTACGGGTTTATGTGTTATTGGTCGGGTCAATAAACCACTATTCTCTAATTGACGGTGTCGTTACATCATACATTGATAGGAGTACAAACCTACAAGTTATAAAAACTGATACCCTATCTGCATCAATGGTACTAACTGCAGTTATATTCAAACCAAGAGAGCATCGTTAAAGAATCTTGACTGCTTGTACGGGTTTACGAGTCGTGGGTTTGGTCGATAAATCACTGTTCTCTAATTGCCATTTTCATTACGTTTACATATAAATAGGTTACCATCAGTTGGCCCGAACTTGCACAAGGGGAAAACCAAGGTCCTCAAATACAACACGAAGAACACCACTCTAATCACACTTGATGATGAAACTCTGGAAGTTGTAGAATCGTTCGCACACCTGGGAAGCATCACCGATGAACAAGGAGGTTCAGATGCAGATGTAAAGGCGAGGATTGGGAAAGCAAGGACAGCATTTCTTCAATTAAAGAACATATGGAACTCAAAACAACTTTCAACAAATATCAAAGTCAGAATCTTCAATAAAAACGTCAAGGTAGTTCTACTGTACAGATGTGAATCTTGGAGAACTACTACAACCACCATCAAGAAGGTACAGGTATTTATCAATAGCTGTCTACGCAAGATACTCAACGTCCATTGACCGAATACCATCAGCAACAGCCTTCTGTGGGAGAGAACAAACCAGCTTCCAGCTGAAGAGGAAATTAGGAAAAGACGATGGGAATGGATAGGACATACCTTAAAGAAATCATCAAACTGCATCACGAGGCATGCGCCAACTTGAAATCCTGAAAGGAAGTGGAAAAAAGGAAGGCCAAAGAACACATTACGTCCGGAAATAGAATCGGATATGAAAAGGACGAATAACAACTGGAAAGAACTCTGAATGATTCCCAGGACAGAGTTGGATGGAGAATGCTACTGAGCGGCCTATGCTTGTTCACGAGAAGTAACAGATGTAATTAAGTAAATAGGTATTAATTGGCTACAATAAGTACATGTTATAACATATACACTGAACGAGTGACAAGAATCATTCTAAAAACTTAACATATATGACATTAAGATGGCAAAGAATATTTGTAGCTTAAGTGGATGATCTCGATGGAGTTTTTTTCTTCAAACTAGAAGGTTTAATCATCAAGCTTTCATCGTCCTTCTGAATGACATGCTCAGCACAAACTTCACGTAGCAGTGAAGTATTCGAATTTCTCCATATGTGCATAATGCGAGACATAACCAAAACAATAACAGAATTAACATCAACAAGAACTAATCAACATTGAAGTGTATAGAACAAGCTATAAATCACATGTAATGAACATTTCACTTCTCCTTGAAGTTTATCCCGCAAATGATATCATTCAGAAGAATGATGAAAACTCCACAATCAAGCCATCCAACTCACAGTACTATACACTTGAATTCCATTGAATTCTCATTAAAAGTAATGTTTGTTTTTTCTTTTAACTTTTTAGATCATTTGTAAACCAACTCAATTAGAATCGGATCATCTTCATGATCAAGAACTTATAGCTGGTCAAAATTATTTACGTTTACATCCAATCTCTGATACTGTATTTTTTATATTTACAAAAGGTATATTGGATTATGAAATGAATCCACGTGTTTCCTTATTAATTGATTGTTATGATTTAGCTAATATAGAATCATTTGATCAAGTTCATTTCACTTTACAACATATTCAACAAATGGATCCATTCATACAATCATATTCATTTCGTATAACAGTGGCTATATCTGATCAAAATGATAATCTACCTATATTTAAACAATCAAAATATTATATTACAATACCAGAACATTTACCAGATGATTCATATATTACTGAAATGAAAGCATATGATTTAGATAATGGTAAATATGCACAATTAACATATCAATTAAATTCAATTACATTCAATTATATTGATGACGATCATGATCAAGATGATCATCATGATCATGATCATGATGATGAAGATCTTCTAGAACATTCAGAACATTCAAGATATCCAAGCCAACATGAACAACCATTTCAAATTCATCCAATCACTGGTATTATTACAGTATTACATAATCAATTATTAGATCGTGAACTAATTGAATATTTTTGTTTATTGATTTCAGCAATAGATAAAGGGAATTTAACGACTAAAACACAATTAATTATACAATTATTAGATATTAATGATCATTTACCAATATTGCATAATCCTATCAATATTGATTTTCAAGAAAATCAAAAAATCAATACTTTTATTGATTTTATACATTTAATTGATTTAGATAAAGATTCTAAAAATTCACGTATTCATTTATTATTAAATAATAATCAATATCAATCAATCAATCATCTACCAATCAATAACCAATCAATCACTCATCGATTAATCAATAACCAGTCAATCAATAATCCATATAATAATTATATAAAAATTATACCAGATATAAATTTTAATTATGCAGAAATGAATAAAAATCAATTAATAAATGAATATGAATTAAAAGCAAAACTAATTAGTCAATTGATAATAGATCGTGAAAAAATCAATAAAATTTTTTATAAAATTATCACATATAATGATAATACTAATATAAAGCAAATAAGTAGTATAACATATACATTAACTATAAATATATTAGATGAAAATGATAATATACCAATATGTATATATCCACATTATAATAGTATTATTGGTTATGATGATCAAGATCTAGATCATGACCATGATCCAGATCCAGATCAAGATCCAAATCATGATCATCCAATAATGATTTATACAAATACACCAATTTATACATTGATATTACAAATAAAAGGTTATGATCCAGATCATCATTTAAATGGTACTATCTTATATGAATTAAATCAATTTACTAATGGTAGTCCATATTTTTATTTAAATGAATCTAATGGTAAATTATATACGAATTGGTTAATTGATAATTTATATGATTCATATCATATGGATACTAATCCATCACACCATCCACCTATAGATGGAATATATCAGATTAAGATCTTGCTAAAAGATATGGGTATACCATCTTTATCAAATGAAACACAATTTTTTATAAAAATTCATTCATTTCATATCAGTCAATCAATAATCCATAATCAATCAATCGATTTGAATCAAACATTTACATTTTGGTTATATAATCATCATCATCATCATCAATTTTTATTGATTGCATTGATTATTTCACTTATATTATTGATTATGATAATAAGTAGTATCATCATATGGATCAAATCATCTTGTCAAGAAAAATTGAGTCTTATTCATAAAACAGAATGTAATCCAATTATCATAACAACACAGAAAGATCAATCTTTAAAGAAACCATATTGTATTAATTGTTTATCAACTAATAAGAAATATCAATATTCATCGAAAATCGATAATAATAATAATACGAATAATAATAATCATAATAATCGATTAAATTGGCCAGTGACAAATATAATTCATCAATCAATAAATGATAGACATAGATATTCTACTCATGATTCAATCAATAATAATCTAAATATTATTACTACTACTACTGCTCATACTACTATTAATACTACTAATCAAGATCTGTATAGTTATACAAATCATTTACATACAAATCCAATCTGTTCATTCACATTCCCATATGATACTAGTAACCATAGCAACAACAATAACAACAATAATGATGATTATGATGATCATCAATCTATAAGACAAAAAGTAACTTTATCATTAGATTCATCAAATCTGAATTATTCTATATATAATAGATCTATTCATGAAACATTTATAAATGATCAGTTTAATAATGATGTATATAAACAATCATTATATCATAGAACATTTGGAAATTCTATTATTTATTCAGGATATACTAATTCATATTTATCTTCTATACATGATGTTATTGATTATGATTCATGTAAGTGAAAGATTGTAGTTGTATTGATGAATCCATTGAAGATAGATAATGGTCTTGAGTGTTGTTAAAGGTATGAGGGTAGTTACCACATCTTGGATACAGAAGGGTCGATTAGCTTTTGCTAACTTGAGTCATTTATTTTGTAGGCGAGATATCCGTCTATCAATCAAAGGACGGGTTTATTGTGCAGCAGTTAGTTTCGTTCTACTTTATGTCAGTGAAACATGGCCAGTAAGAGTAGAGGATATTTGTAAGTTACTAGTGTTCCGTCATAGATATCTTCGAAACATTTCTCGTATATCCTGCGACCACGGATCAGTAACGCAATTGTTAGGAAACGAGTACTAGGTAGGGATGGCAAACCAACTGATGAAATAATGAAGCTTCATCAGTTGAGATGGCTGGGACATGTGTTACGTATGCTCAACCAACGACTGCCTTGAATTGCGATGTTTTATGGTGTAGGAGTAGGTTGGAAGAAAGCTAAGAGCGACCAGACCAAAACGTGGCACAAATAAATGAAATCACTGACAAGTGGACTGAGCGATGTTGGCAGGTGTAAACTACCTGGTTCGGATCCGTGAGATGATAACAATCGATGGTTAGAGACCTTGAATGAAACACGACTAAATGTCGTTTGCAATGGCGCAGTTGCATCCACTCTTTGTGTTCTCCCAAATTCTAATCTTCTGAATTCTTCATGTCCCTTGTTTTTCCTCTTTACAAATTTACTTCACTGGATTATATTCCTTGAATAAAATCTCCAAACCCTTATGTTTCGAATTACTGCTTATACTCTTAATGCCCCTACCATTGTGGGATTTAAATAGATAACTGCATCACTGTGCTAATGTGGTATGACCACTAGAACTGATGTACGTACGTACGAAGTTCTACGTTGTTACTGACTGACGGACTGATAATGTGGAAAGGTTCTTCTGGAGGTACCTGAAAAAGTGCCTGTATGAGAGGTGGATCTACTGAGCTGAAAGAGTGACCGCAGTGCTTACGGGATAACACACGACATTTTTGTCATTAATTTTTGTGTTAGCTCCGTTCTTGTTGAATCCCTATCACAGGAGATAGATACCCGATGGACAAGGCAAGGTGTGCATTTTTAGGATCGATCTTTTCTGGTCACACCCTTCCTTCTGGGAAGGCAGCATCTCTGTTATGCTGGTTGTTTTCGGTATGACTTCACTATCGGACCTTGAGTTTGCCGCTTTTAGTCTGACCGCTCTTCATTTGACCTGCCTGTCTAGCATGGTATGATCTCAAAAAACGATTGTTTCAGCCAGTAAAACCCGATTGGTTCATTCCGATAGATAAGACTAACCACCACATCAAGACAACCTGGAAACACTGAACGATTGTTTCGTCCTATTATGGAACTCCTGATGCCGCCTAGCGAGATTCGAATCCAAGAATTGTCGATCTCACGCTAGTGGACGCTTAAACTCTAGACCAATGAGACGGCTGGCATCCAATGGTGGTATTGCCCAAGTTCAAGTAATACACAATATTACGCCACCGTCCGCCATTGGCCTCACAATAGACGCGACTGAACTCCTCACAGGGTTACTAACTCACAAAAGACCCTGTTGCACCCCATTAGTTATGACTTCTCATTAGAAGCTGAAGAAATACATTAAGAAGTCGCACACTAGGATGAGATGTTCTTTTAGTGCTTTCAGGCTTTCCATGATAGTCTAGCTTCAATTGATTCATGAATTTAACTATTGAAATAACAATAAAATTTACAACACACCTCTCTGATTATGGTATTTATTGAAAGTAGACTGATAAGTCCGACATTTACAGAATTATGTTTTCGATTTAAGCAAAGTGGCTAGCAGTAAAATCCAGGACGCGCGTTTCGTCCCATTTAGGACTCGTCAGCTGGATGTACCTGTACCCCAGTGTTGATGTGCACTCCGGTAGTCGAACCCAGAACCATCCGATTCAAACGTCATCGCGTTATCCACTAAGTTACTGATTTTTGATATCCATCTGCTTGTGTGATGGTGTGAATTCATGTTTCTGAATGGTTGTAGAGTTGAACAGACAGATGGTAAATTAGACAGGGGCTTAATATTCCTCGAATTGTATTTCCACTTTTAGTGCTCAAATGTAAATATGCTTTTTTGTTGGTAGCCGTTATTAATGTCAACATTTTTTCGCCCCTTTTGAATGACTGATTTGTAAACATGTTTTGTATAAGTTGATTGTGTTCAATTAATTAGTTGTAAAGTTTAATTCACTCTTGATATTATCTTCTCCATGGATTAAACTTTAGCTGTATGGCTATGTACAGCTGATAGTCTCATATGAGGCTGGAGGTTCGGCATTGCTTTGGCAAGTTTTGCCGACTGTTCATACACAAAATTAGTTTGTTGGTTAACCGATTTCATTCATACTGGTGGCTGCTCTTCAGTGTTCCCAAGAGTCATTGTCATTGAGACATTGTATGGTACACCATCCTTGGTAGCATTAATGAGTTTGACTGTCGTGTAAGCGGAATAGGTCAACTTTGGCCTGTTCGTGCCGTGAATAATTGATTCACGCGATCATTGATTGGAATAACTATACACGTGATGTGAATACATATTTGAATGATGCTAAAGGTTCACCAGGGTGCTTGATACCTGTGCGGTTGCGCAACAGGATTGAGCTGTACTATTTAGAATGTAGCGTTGAAGTTTATACGGTGTCTGGTTCTCCTGTGAAGCGGGATTGAGCTGCACAGACCGAACCACGTGGTTTTCTTAAGAGGCCACATTCGGAGCCTTTGATCTTAAGGACTAATCAACAAGGTAATGAAGCAACGTAAGGAGATGCAGTACCATGGTGGCCGGTTGACCAACAATAGATTCATACTCTATTTGTTCTTTAAGGATCCTGGAGTCCATGTGCACCACTGGTTTAGAATCAGGGTTTTCCAAATCCCCTAGGTAGGTTATCTACATCCATCAACCTGGATAAAGCGTTGAATATCCACTTTCCGTCCTCTCAATTTCGTAAGCAACAGTAATGCCTTAAGAAGGTAGTGAGTGGGACTTCCATGGCAACGACTGTATACGCGTGGTCATATGTGAGCATTTGGAGAGGGAGAGCTGACTCTCCCCACCCTTCGGCCGTACCAGGGCATTTGGCGACAACTTGGTAACATGGCAACTTAATCGTCAGAAACCAATCAGCACTAGAGTGTTAAACAACTATATTATATTTATCACTACTTAGTGACCAAAAACATACAATTCAGTAATAGCCAATTTCATAAAATCATGAAATTAAAATATGAATATTATTGCCTTATTTACTGTCGTATTACTTGATGATGTTTTCGCTACTTTCGGGTTGCCTGATCTGTCAATTACGATAGGACAGTGCATGACAGTATTGTTGTGTGCTAGGTTTAAAGAGAATTGTATGCTATATACATGCGAATCCTCCCTGCCATTATTCCTGTCGCCCCCAAATGTACTCGCATAACCGAAAGTATGGAGAGTCACTCTTCCACTCGAAGTGCTCTCAAATGACCACATGCATACAACCACTGCCAAGGAAGTCCTAATTACTGCCTTCTCGTCAAGAGGGCGTTGTTTTCGAATGTCCGACACTTTAACGGGGTTGATGGATATAGTCCATTCATATAGGAAGGTTGGAAAACTGTCATTCCAAACCAGCTATACACATAGGCTCCAAGATTTTGAGGAAACAAAAGGTGTGTTAACCAATTACTGATCACCGACTACTAAGTGACGGCATCTCCCTACGTCGCTCCACTAACTTATAGATAAAACCTTTCATATACATATAATAATCCTATTTCGATATACATATATATTGTCGTTTTTTCTATTATAGATCAGAGACAACAAAGAAATATGAAATCCCAATGAACATATACCCATTTACATACTCTTTACATAATTGAAATCAACATACTCACGTCCCCATTTATTGTTGTCGCTCTTCTAATTCCAACATAAAGCCAACACTAATTTATGATAGGCTTTATATAAATTGATAAAGTATTATTCAACAAAGACGAACTTTATGTTGATCTTCACTTTCAACAGTTCCTCAACTGTATTACTTTATCCTTCTAATCGTAGAACTGACTTCATTCCTATATATATCTATGTACATATACATCAATTTCATAACCTATTCAGGTAATTTTCTGAAAAGTATACAACCTTTCACTGTACAAATTACCGAAGATCCTTAACAGAAGTATCATAATTGTTGACAATATACAGAGGTTCTTGTACTGGTTACATCTAATTGGCAACTACTCAAATATTGTTATCATTAGGATCAATGCTCCTTTATCTTGTGCCAACTCATAACAAATCAATTTGCCTATATCAACTTCATATGAATGTTTATGCTTACTGTTAATGCGCTTTTCTTTTTTTTTTATTACTTAATTAAATAATAGACTACTTGTAATAATATGCCATTAAGTAATAAACCTTTATACAAAATGAAATCAATCATTTCTGTGGGGGAAAAGGTAGTGAGGTCCTTGATCCTGGCTTTCTGAATATATGTATATATAAATGGAACACTTCTAAGAAAGCTCGTATTTGATTGGATAATTAATAATGATTATATTTTATTCAAAGGAAATTAACCAATCAAAAGTAGATAGAATTGTACTAGTTTTGAAGCGATGACGAGTTCATTTACTCTGTGAACAAAAACAAAGACTCTCTGACCAAAGATCAATAAACTATCTATTCTATTGCATCTCGACCTTGCTAACTAGAAAGAGAAATCAAAATTTGGAATGGGGAAGTATATTCTACAAAATGCCAGAAGCACGAGCGATAACAACAGATACAAATCAAATCGTTAATATACAGCACAAAACCGTCCTTGGGAAGCGTTACCAAATAGCATACTTAAAGATACAACGAACCAATAGCGTTTAAGATTCTCTCAAATGGGAAATACAATATGAAGGTGACAAGTACCTTTTTGGCGCGAATGCAAAGAAATTCAAATTTTCAAAATAAAACTACGAAATTTGGTTCTTTACCCATGTGAGTTCTGAGGAAACAACGTCTCCAGCAGAATTAATTTATAGATCATAATTGAAATAGATATAAATAGTTATAAGAAAACATGGTTAATGACTAGTAGTGAAATTTAGAATGCTCATTTTGTCCTATTTGAGATTGAGTCTTAGAGTGAACAACAAACCTGAGATGCATGTACATCCAGCTGATGAGTCTCAAACAGGACGAAACGCGAGTCTTGGATCGCACTGCTAACCACCATTCATCTTTACTTAGAATACTTGTGAATTAAAGAAATATAGAGTCAATACGTACAATAAGCATATTTGCTAATAACAAAGACTGATCAATTGCAGTCCTAAAGACATCAATGGGAAGATTCAAGTAATCTATACCAAGTGAATTTAGACTTCACCACATTGCACGAGAAAGTGGCTATAAGCGTTCAGTAGCTAAGTAAATAACACGATGGGGTTTAAAGCGAACGTTATTGGGTTCGAGTCCCAGGGTGATGTCTAAACTCGACCAACCCACGGAATCGCGTGACCATTATCTATTGTACTGAGGTAGATACTTGTCTTTACCTGACATGGATTAATTTCACTGATCATGGCTTCTTACTAATACTCCGAGAATTCCCTCACGATGCTAGTCATTAGTGAATACATTCACATTCGTTTAGTGAATGAATACTACTGAGGAGTCCTGTACTAGAACGAATCAGTCGTCCGAAGCTTCCACGTTGTCATTGGTGATCTAACATCAATTGAATCATCTATTCAACTATTAAAATTACTACAATCTCCACATATCCTAATTCTAATTAAATCTATTTATTAAAATATAAATGTTGACATTTAAACAAGACAGTTTTTGCTACATAAATTTCAATCAATCACATGACAACAATGAATTATTTACAGCCAATCCAACAAATAAGAATTGGATCGGTTGATTTTAGACACTAACACCATTGGATGTCAACTCAGTAGTCTAGTAGGTTAGACGTTTGCTCGCGAGACAGAAGGTCCTGGGTCCGAATCCCGCGAGCGCAATCGTGAGTGTGCACTGATGAGGAGTCCCACAATAGGACGAAATGGCTGGTCCATTGCTTTCAGGTCTAACATCAATCACTTCATGATCTTCCTTATTACATAACGACACATTTTAAACCACTTACCATCCATTACTTTTAGTCATATCCTTAAATTTCAATAAAGGTCAGGAATCTCACTAAACGTAACAATAATGTCAGTCGAAGCAGAGTATTGAAGATAGGACTCTAGGCTATAATGGAATAATGAACATACACATGGTATATATCACGAACATAAGTCGTTACTACTAGAAATATAACTACTAATTCATATCTCTGATAAGGATACGAACCTTGGCTAACGTTGTGACTATCATTTATGAACGTATCAATTAGATATTGTTATTACTACTAATATCAGTTGCTTCAGGATTGATCGGCGTCAATAGCAGAACTAAGGATAGGGAGTGAAATAGTCGAACACGTTGACAACTTCACTTATCTTAGAAGTCTGATCAGCCCGCATGCGTTGGTGTCTGATGAAATCTCAGCATGGATTTGAAAAGCTTGTTTGACTTTTGCCAACATGCGTCACCTATGACAAAGGCGAGATATCCGCCTATCAATAAAAAGACGAGTATACTGGACGGCAGTTCATTCTGTTTTAACTTACGGCAGCGAAACATGGCCACTAAGAGTCGAAGATACTCGTAAAATATTAGTGTTTGACCATAGGATATCTTTGAAATATTTTTGCATCTGCTGGGATCAACGGGTAAGTAATAGTGAGGTTAGACGCAGAGTATTAGGGAATGACGGTAAATCAGTTGATGAGGTTGTGAATCTTCATCGACTGAGATGGTTGAACCAGGTGTTGCGTATGCTTGAACGCCGATTACCACGACTTGCAATGCTAACCGGTATTTGAGATGGCTGGAAGAAAGTTAGGGGCGTCCAAATCGAAACGTGACATCAGTCCTTGAAGTCACTAACTTCTAGTCTTAGCCATGTTAGTAGATGCAGACTACTTGGTTGGTGTCCGTGTGACTAACATAGCCAGTAGTGGTTTGAGACTCTGGGTGACATAGCTCAGAATCGATCACAATCGCATAGGTGTATACACTCTTTGTCTTCCTTTAAACTATGAGATTAAAACCACTTCATATCTTTCTTTCTACGTACTAAATCTTTCTTCCTGTACCATATCCTTATATACAATCTTTCTTTTATATATTACCACCATTAAATTAGCTACTATGAATCCGGTGTTCATCTTGCTGTGCTAATGAGGTATGGCAACTTGGACCGATGCATATATGTGCTTGGTCCTACGTTGTAGCTGACAGACTGACTGACTGATCGATCAGTCGATGTCAGTAGTATACACCCCATCATCATCACCATCAACTTGAAATCACTTTATCTATCATGATTGATTCAATATTACACAACATAGAATTCATTATAGTTCATAGTAAGTCATTTATTTTCATTTATTTAATTTCTTTTACCTTTCTGTTTAATAATAATCAGACAATTTTCTTCTACTTTTTTTTCTTTCTCTTTGAATTCTTTATACACATATGGAGTTAAATGAAAGTTGGAGGTTGAGGGTTCTTGTAGTTGTTGTTGTTGCTGTGGTTGTCGTTGTTGTTATTTAAAGAATTGAAACTTGACAAGTTTGCGTGTTTTCACAATGAATCCATAAATACCAATATTATTGTTTCTAATTGTTTAAAATCAACAAAAAATTTGGGGGGGAGGGGGGAAGGGGGAAGGGGAATGGTGGGAATTGGGAAGAGGGTGATAGAAATAAATTTATCATTTGAATTATATACTATTGAAATACATAAGATGAATGGATTGGTCTGTGTAATTTCAATTATAGAATTTTATTATGAATTTTTTTGAATAGAATAATATAAAAATAAGAATATCTACGTAGTCAATTCATCAGTAGGTTTCTCTATACATAAGGGAAAACCGAAATCAAGATCGTCAAATTCAATAAAGTGAACTGTAACATAATCAAACATGATGGAGAAACTCTGGAAGATGTGAAATGTTGCATGTACCTGGGCAGTATCATAGACAAATGATGCAAACGTAATAGTGAAGCTAAGCAAAGCAATGACAGTATTCCTACAGTTGATGAAAATATGGTACTCAAATGAACTGTCAACTAATATCAAAGCTCACAATCTTTAATAATAAGGTCAAGGCACCAATACTGTATGAAACTAAAACGTGGAGAACTACTACAATCACCATCAAAATGGCATAGGTAATTATAAACAACTATTATGTATGCAAGCCATTGAATATCCGTTGACTGAGAACCATCAGCGATAGCCAAGTGAAAGAAAATAATCCAAGTTGCAACTGAAAAAGGAAGTAGGGAAAGATTTTGGAAGTGAATAGGATACACATCGAGGAAATCATCAAAATTGACCAAGGGGCAACACATGCTTGTTATCCTGAATGGAAACGGTAGAGTGGAAGACCAAAGAACATATTGTGACAAGAATGGGAAGCATGAATGAAAATGATGGCTAGTAACTGGAAGGAACTGGAAAGGTTTGTTGAGGACAGATTTCGATGGGAAGCGATGATAGGGAAGAGACAAATATCTACCTCAGACAATCGATGAAAGATTGCGCCGCCATTCATGGATCGATAGAAGTTAGACACTGACACTGCTGGATGCCAGACAACTCAAGGTTTTGAGGTTAATTGTTCGCGCGCGAAACCAAAGATTCTAGGTGCGAATCTCATCCACGAAATCGCTTATTACCTCGACATTGGATCAAGTCACAAGCTTTATAGGTAAAAATAG